TGTAGATAAGTGGGTCGTCATCGGGCGTACCGAAGATCACTATATCAGTTACTTGGACCGGTCAGTCGGCGACTGGCTGGACTATCGGCACGGTCGCATGCATATACCAGGCATGGCCTGGGCACTGCCGGGTGCTGCCGGGCGTTGTTGGCGCCGGCCCGTGCGTGGCTGGCATGGTTTGTGCACTGGCGGGTGTAGCTGGCACAGCACGTGCACTGGGGATGGCTATTGGCGTGCTGCTGTGCACTGCCAATAGGTACTGGGTGTGACTGAGTGCGACTAGCCACTGCCGTGCATGCGGGCTACGGCACTGGCACGCATTAGCACTGCCGGGCACTGCTGTGCACCACGGACAGGCGGCTGGCACGCGGGCTGCGCGTGCTGAGGTGACTGGGTGCTCGGCCGTGCTGCTGGGCACTGGCCGAGGCCTGCTAGGCACGGCTGGCACGTTGCCAGGCGTGCTGGCGTGCGTGACTGCTAGCGAGCGTGCATGAGATGCTGCTGGCGTGCGTACTGGCATCACTGGACACGCTACTGGGCGTGTGACGCGCTGTAGTGTACGCAGACGGACTGGCTGCGCGCTGTCGTGCGTGTTGGCGTGCACTGGTACGCCCACGCACATAACGGCGGTAGTTCGTGACTGACTGCGGGGCACTGGCTACGCGCACGCACTGCTGGGTGTGCGGACGCTGCCAGTGTGCCTGCTGGGATTGCCGGACGTGCCCGTGCGCACGCTCCGTGCGGTATGCATCACGGTCGGCCTTTCGCCGGCTGTCCGGCTACTTTCTCCGGCCACTCACGTATGGCTGAACATAAATTGACTTAAAATGACTAACCATACATAACTTTCTTGGGACTTGCCGGTTAAACATCAAAATCATTCGGAGAAGGCAAACCACGGCCCGTGGGCATGCACTACGTGTGCTGCCGACTTCCTTAGGCCAAAACATGGACAAAACCACAACTTGTCTCGACCTATCTTTCTAAACTGAACTTATAAGGACATAACATGATAAAATAAACATAAACTGCACGGGAAATGCTGGATAAAATTGAACATCACTCGATCATGACCTACATGGCCAAAACCGAGCCCCTTATGACGTTTTCTTTCATTTCTTGACATGAACTCATTAAACTGGATTTAACATGATATTACTAACATGAAAGGAGGCTGAATATGAGGTTACCTCTTCAAGTGTTCGGAGAATTTCACAAGAACGGGCATGATTCTCCTTCCTGTGCTTGCGTGCGTGCGTGTATGTTTAATATATCTTAACTTTGCCTAACATTTGCTTAACGTATATCCAAAGTAATCAGCCCTAGCTCCACCCCAAATTCTGGTTATATAGATGATAAACGTGGGTGAGATTGGGATGAAAAGCTCGGCTAATGGCCGTACGCCATGTGCCGAGTGCTAAGGGTCTAAGAGTGGCATTTGGGGCTTAGTCATCCAACTCGTTGCTTAGTCACGTCCAAGACCCCTCTCATGCATCCATGTGTACAAGAACTGATGACAATGCACATGAAGATTGGGAAATCTTAAGCTCTTGGCGATTAGTTCAGTTAAGCACGACTTAGACGTGCTAAAGACGTACTTATGCGTACTAATAGCCGTACAAAGCATGCTCAATGCTAAGCTAAACGTGATTACTTTTAAACATGATTAACCTTAAACTAATCCTCATTAATGTTAATTAATCATCATTAATATTAAGCTAATCATGATTACTTAAGCTAATTAAGATTAATTAGCTAAACATGGATTAAGTTAATTAAGCAAGGTTTAATGACCATTTCTTAATTAATGATGGACGGTGTACCAAGTGTGAATGCGTTGCTGTATAGGAATGACGACGTTCATATATGGTAACCCTAACCGAACGTACTTGTTTTCGGTTACAACTTGACCTCGGAACTTAATTCGAATATTCTTGACTTAGACGATTAATCCGAACATTAATATTTCGAATAGTTCGTCAACATGACTTTTTAATTCCGAACTCATTAACTAATTAAATGAATCAGAATTAAATCTAAAAACTTGTCGACTAATAGTCGAACTTGGAGTTTAACTAACTGATTAACTTAAACTTGAACATGAACATGACTATTTATTAACAAAGGCTAGCTTTAAAATTAAAAGCTAGTATTTTCCTTTATTAATAAAACTCGGGGTATAACAACCCACCCTCCTTAAAATATTTCCGTCCTCGGAAATACTAAAACTGAAATGTACAAGATTAACATGAAGCTTATACTTATTGCTGACATGACTTGAGGATTCAGTATTGAATACTAAACATTAGACTTGATCTTAACTGAGAAATCAACAATTCACAATTAAGTGAGTTGATGATTAACACTGACTGAAACGGGACACTTTTATAAGATAAAGTGTTCCATTTATTATACTTGACATTAAAAATATAATTCTTAAGTATACTGGTCTTCATCCCCTGGCTGGTTGTTGCTCTTCGGTCTGAACGTCATTCCTGGAAAATTTCAGAGATATGCACATGTACAAATGAGGGTAACTAGCAATCCTGGTAACTACCTTTCGTGAATGTCTACTCGATATGCGGTACATCATTCGCGGCACATTGTAATGCGGCATACCTGCTCCTCATCAAGTGAGTGCGGCATACCTGCATACAGCACCTGGCGAACATTGTACCTGCGACGTCGACGTAGTCTGTATGGCTGATCATATCTGTATCTCGGCTAGTAACCTCAATGTATTATAATGCTAATTCTCCGTGATTTCCCAGTGTACCGTGACTTAGGCATGGCATCCGTCTCTTCTGGCGTCATGCATCCTTGAATCAAAAGCTTGGTTGTCATCATGGCATGATCTGTTGCTGTTGATTGATCTTCTCCGCCGTGTCGTATATTGACAGGTTGTACCTGCAACTGTTTACCTTCCTTGAGGTCAAACATAACCTCAAGAAAAGTTTATCATAAACTGATCTTTCCTACGAATTCTCAAATCATCTGCATTTGAGAATCGAGGCATAAGACATACTTGGAATGACTGATAAGTCTTGTCTTATTAGACAGACTATCCTTGACTTGACATGACTAGCCTGAGCATTCACATAATTGAATATCCAGGACTTGACTTTTACATGACTGAATCATTCTTTATCTGAACCTCGAAAGCTATTCTGAGACAACTAAATGGTCGCCTCGGAATTTGGAACATGACATTTATTAACTTGCTTGACTTGATAAGGTGCGACTTCAAGTTTCCAGGTAAAACTGGACTAATAGTTTGTATCACAGACTTCCATTTTAACCCGACTGAACAACTATTGTACGTCGACCTTAATACTTGAACATTGCTTTTAAATCGTCAACATTGACCCACGACTTTGTACTATGTAGGGCTGCTCCAGTATTAACTGGTCCCGCAAGTACTGAATAAATAACTGATTTTAAACTTTGCCAACTAAACTCAGAGTATCTAACTGGTAAGATACCCGACTTACTGACTCTAAAGGTTGTTACTTTCTGAAACTGTACTGCTCCGGTCTCAGCTTCAAGCCTCCATGGTATACCCGGCTTAATGGCTCTTATTTCAAGCCTCCATGGTAACCCGGACTTTTGGCTCTTATACACTGGAAACCGTTACCTTGACAATGACTTGAAAATTTTAACAACCTTTAGCATGAAAAATCTTGCCCTGAACTTGATTTACTGACTTGACTTAGGAAAATTGAGCTCATTCCCTGGTCTAACTCAAGGAATTCTTCCTTGGAATGTGCCAACTAATTGGCAAAACGGGCAATTTTCGATAGAAAATTTCTGAAGAACGTGATTGCTAAGATTTGTATAACATAAGTGCTTACAAATCTCTTGAAGAGTCGTAAAATCGACCTGAATAAATCTAGAATGGAATCTAGAATTCTCAATCCTAGCCCCTTTAGATCAGACTCGAACATCCTTATTGATGACTTTATTGAAGTTGATCAATAAATAACACAAATTTCTTAACGAGTCGCTAGACATGACTGGGGAATACTGACATAAAATCCTGAGTATACTGACTACTGATCATAAACATGATTCGAGCATCTTAACTACATCGTAACTGAGACATTTCTGAGCATAGAAATAGTAAATTGTTTATAATTTAAAACTTGAATCAGCACTTACCTGGTAGTCGGCGAGGCGTGAGCGTGACATGTTCGGGTTTTCTGAAAACTTTCTGTCTTATAAAAATTTCAGAGACGCAAAAACGTCCTCTGATACCAACTGTAACACCCTGCCTTGACATGAAAATCAGAGCGCGTTTTTTGCAATTACATTCAAAATAAAACATTTTACATTGCGAAATACTAATTCGGATTGCTACCAAAATACATAACTGACTGATAAATCTAAACTTTTTGTTTTGAAAACCAACTAACAGTTCGCCGACTGATTTCTTTGACTAAGAATGACGAACAGTAAAACATCAGCGAAAACTGTAATGGTGAAATTGGATAGAAGTACCGTGATCGTGAAAACAAGTTATTTGAAAATAATAACGGCACTGCTATGCCAAATTCAAATTGTACAAAATGTAATTTAAACTTTATAAGCATAGTCCCGAACAGCTCCGTCATCTCACTCCTCTGTCCCGACGTCATGACCTGAAAATCATGATAATAGTGGGAGCGTGAGTACTAAGAACATTGTACGCCGCAGAAACTCATACTAAAGTAAACATTAATAATAATATCAATATCATGACTGCAGGTATATATAAATAAGCTGTAATCTCCAGACACGAGGTCTGTACTGTGCTGGTCATGTGCACACTCTGATGGGCAATTAAGGCTACTGCACCTCCACCAGAACTCTGGATGGGCAATTAAGGCTACTGCGCCTCCACCCAAAGTGGAATAACTGATATACATACCTTAAAACATGATAGAGCAATTATAACCAATGTAATACCCAGTCTGAGTTCCCACCTGAACTGCTGGTTTGAAAATGTAAGTGCTGATCATCTGGATCCTGAATAAACTGAAAATAATATAAACAATTACTAAATACTATGCTCAGACTGATAAAAATAACTGATTCACATGTTAAGATGCTCTACTGGACTTAAACATAATATCTGGGCTTAACCGGTACAACCAGAACTGGATAGACTCGGAATTGAACTGACATGAATGTACGGAATTGGACTGGACAGAAAATTTAACTGAAAACGGGATTGAAATCATGAACCGGGACTTAATGTAATAATATATGAAGAAATCGGTTTGAACTGTTATAAATTAATCTGGCTGGACCGCCGGTCTGCTCGGACCAGTCAGTCGGCGTCTGGCTGGACTATCGGCACGGTCGCACGGATATACCAGGCATGGCCTGGGCGCTGCCGGTGCTGCCGGGCGTTGCTGGCGCTGGCCCGTGCGTGGCTGGCATGGTTTGTGCACTGGCGGGTGCAGCTGGCACCGCACGTGCACTGGGGATGGCTATTGGCGTGTTGCTGTGCACTGCCAACAGCTACTGGGTGTAACTGAGTGCGACTAGCCACTGCCGTGCACGCGGGCTACGGCACTGGCACGCATTAGCACTGCTGGGCACTGCTGTGCGCCACGGACAGGCGGCTGGCACGCGGGTTGCGCGTGCTGAGGTGACTGGGTGCTCGGCCGTGCTGCTGGGCACTGGCCGAGGCCTGCTAGGCACGGCTGGCACGCTGCCGGGCATGCTGGCGTGCGTGACTGCTAGCTAGCGTGCATGAGATGCTGCTGGCGTGCGTACTGGCATCGCTGGACACGCTACTGGGCGTGTGACGCGCTGTAGTGTACGCAGACGGACTGGCTGCGCGCTGTCGTGCGTGTTGGCGTGCACTGGTACGCCCACGCACATAACGGCGGTAGTTCGTGACTGACTGCGGGGCACTGGCTACGCGCACGCACTACTGGGTGTGCGGATGTTGCCAGTGTGCCTGCTGGGACTGCCGGACGTGCCCGTGCGCACGCTGCGTGCGTTATGCATCACAGTCGGCCTTTCGCCGGCCGTCCGGCTACTTTCTCTGGCCACTCACGTATGGCTGAACATAAATTGACTTAAAATGACTAACCATACATAACTTTCTTGGGACTTGCTGGTTAAACATTGAAATCATTCGGAGAGGGCAAACCACGGCCCGTGGACATGCACTACGTGTGCTGCCGACTTCCTTAGGCCAAAACATGGACAAAACCACAACTTTTCTCGACCTATCTTTCTAAACTGAACTTATAAGGACATAACATGATGAAATAAACATAAACTGCATGGGAAATGCCGGATAAAATTGAACATCACTCGGTCATGACCTACATGGCCAAAACCGAGCCCCTTATGACGTTTTCTTGCATTTCTTGACATGAACTCATTGAACTGAATTTAACATGATACTACTAACATGAAAGGAGGCTAAATATGAGGTTACCTCTTCAAGTGTTCGGAGAATTTCACAAGAACGGGCATGATTCTCCTTCTCGTGCTTGCGTGCGTGCGTGCGTGTATGTTTAATATATCTTAACTTTGCCTAACATTTGCTTAACGTATATCCTAAGTAATCAACCCTAGCTCCACCCCAAATTCTGGTTATATAGATGATAAACGTGGGTGAGATTGGGATGAAAAGCTCGGCTAATGGCCGTACGCCATGTGCCGAGTGCTAAGAGTCTAAGAGTGGCATTTGGGGCTTAGTCATCCAACTCGTTGCTTAGTCACGTCCAAGACCCCTCTCATGCATCCATGTGTACAAGAATTGATGACAATGCACATGAAGATTGGGAAATCTTAAGCTCATGGCGATTAGTTCGGTTAAGCACGACTTAGACGTGCTAAGGACGTACTTATGCGTACTAATAGTCGTACAAAGCATGCTTAATGCTAAGGACGTACTTATGCGTACTAATAGCCGTACAAAGCATGCTCAATGCTAAGCTAAACATGATTACTTTTAAACATGATTAACCTTAAACTAACCCTCATTAATGTTAATTAATGATCATTAACATTATGCTAATTATGATTACTTAAGCTAATTAAGATTAATTAGCTAAACATGGATTAAGTTAATTAAGCAAGGTTTAATGACCATTTCTTAATTAATGATGGATGGTGTACCATGTGTGAATGCGTCGCTGTATAGGAATGACGACGTTCATATATGGTAACCCTAACCGAGCGTACTTGTTTTCGGTTACAACTTGACCTCGGAACTTAATTCGAATATTATTGACTTAGACGATTAATCCGAACATTAATATTTTGAATAGTTCGTCAACATGACTTTTTAATTCCGAACTCATTAACTAATTAAATGAATCGGAATTAAATCTGAAAACTTGTCGACTAATAGTCGAACTTGGAGTTTAACTAACTGATTAACTTAAACTTGAACATGAACATGATTATTTATTAACAAAGGCTAGCTTTAAAATTAAAAGCTAGTATTTTCCTTTATTAATAAAACTCGGGGTATAACAACAGGCATCGTGCGTGCACGGCAGTCGGGCATCGCGTATGGCCTCTGCCGCGCCAATCGTCAGTCGGTTGGTACTCTGTGCACGCCAGCACGTTCCAGCGCTCGGTTCTGCGTACAGCCGTATGCCAGTCGGCTTTGGGCAGTGTAATATCCCGACTTTTATCAGTATAATAATATTTCAGTTCCGATATTATTTTTTCGGAGTTAATTAATTTCAGTTATTCCAGTCAGAAATTACCGGAACTATTTTCGACGTACCGTTTACGTTCGAAATAATTTTGGTAATTTAGCATTATGTTTAACTGGATGATTAAACATAATTAAGTGATTAATTTAACTTAATCACGAGATTAGCTAAATTGTTCGGATTTTATTCCGAGTTCATGTTCATCGCCGTGCGTTGGGTGCATTCATGTCGTGTGCGAGTTTCGGTCCGAGTTCACGTGTGCATGCCGTGCCCGTGTCCGTGCGTTTCGTTCATGAGTGCCGTGCGAGTAGTTATATGGGCGGAGTATCCGAGGCGTGTGTAACACCCCGCTTTTCCATAAATATCAGAGTGCATTTTTCGCAAATTCTTTTCTTAATAATACATATTTATTTGCGAAATCCTTTTCGGGATGCTACTAAAAACCATTCATTGCTTAAGAAATCCGTTACCATTATTTAAATTTAACCTTGAAGAATAAACGGATTAACTTAGATCAACTTGCATGTAACACTTTATAAGAATCTGTCTGATAAATCAGTTTAAAAATGAAAACTGACATGCTAGTTGAAGTATCGTAAAGTGACAGCGGAAGTCATACGTGGCAAAACATAGCTGTACAATAATGTACAATGGCTGCTAGCCATATCTCTGACCACAATCCACAAACCAGCTCACTCCTCTCGTCCGACGCTGTTCCTGAAAAACATAATAATAGTGGGAGCGTGAGTACTAAACCACTGTACTCCGCAGAAACTCATACTAATGTAAACATTAATAATAATTGCAATATCATGATCTAGAGCATATATATAACTGAACTGTCATGTCATGTACTGTAACTGCGATCAACCGTAACTGCTACGGGATCGAATGCTGTATCTGGCGGCTATAATATGCTGCGCCGCGCCTATGTGCACACTCTAGTGGGCAGATTACGCCACTAGAACTCAGATGGTCTTACTTTGTCTAGCCTCACTGAGCAGGAACTGAATATACATACCTTGAACATAATAACTGTAATTATAATCAATGTAGTACTTAGTCTGAGTCCCCACCTGAACTGCTGGTTTGAAAATGTAAGTGCTGATATCTGCATCCTGATAAAACTGAAAAATAATATAAACAATTACCAATTACTATGCTCAGATTAATAAAAATAACTTATTAACATGTTAAGATGCTCTACTGGACTTAAACATGATATCTCAACTTAACCGGTATAACCGGAACTGACTAAACTCGGAACTGAACTGACATGAATTTTACTGAACTGGTCTGGACTCGGAATTCAACTGAAATTGGGGCATGAACATGAACCGGGACTTAAAATAATGATAATGGGTCAAACCGACATAAAACCGGTCGATTTCCGGTCTGGCCGGACCGCCGGCTCGCTGCGGCCGGGCGGTCGGCCGCTGGCTGGTCACCAGCACAACC